TGAGCCGATTCACGTTGGGATGTGGACGGAAGGCGTACGTTCTTCACTGAGCGCAAGTGCGGGTTGACCTATGGATAGACGGATGGACCGAGCAACCCACCTACAGACCGATGGATTGCTCTACCTCATTCTTGCGGTTCGCGGCTATGCTATCGAGGAGGCTGCAACGACGATAATAATTTATGGGACGGCCTGGTCTCTGTTCGCGATTGGCCGCATGATGACGGCGCTTTTGGTGGATCTCTTCTCAGACACGCTGATACATCTCATCTGTAATTGCTTCTAATTGAATGATTGTGTTCGCGCGTGACCAATAGTGGCAACGCCGACGTCTCAATCGCTCACTCCGGCTCCGTAGAGGATTCACCGAGCACCCTCACTCAAACAGGCTTCCCTGGCCGATCAGCGAACTCTTTAGATAAAATTCAACGGGACGAGCTCTATGAAGAACAAATCGTCATTCGCGCCCGACATGAGTGACGTCCCAGAGCGACTCATCGAGTGACTTTCCCCCGTTGAAAGTCCGGGGCTCCTTTAGACAGTAAATTCTCTACTAGTGCTCAGACTCTGACGGTCTCCCTCCTCGAGGTCCATCGTGTCTCCCGGACACGTAGAGGATAGTTCAAGTCGAAATCTCGGGATGGATAGCGCGTACGCTCGGTCCCAGTCCTGCTAAAACAAAATGGTAGATTGTTCGAGAACTCTCGGCCCGATATCGGAGAACTTCTTCTGGTACGAGATCCCATCCAGTCTTCGCTCTTTCCTACCCGAATCCTGCCAAAGTTGCGATAGTCGATTTTTTCAGAAACTCCGCAGACAGGGTAGGAATCATTATTTCTTGTCAGGTTTTGTCTAACGCAGGTCTTGCTGCAAACGCCTTGCAGCGCCCCATAAATCATCCGCTTATGCTCGGCGTCAAAAATGTTCCATTTCATGGGGGAAACTATCTTCCGAGCAGAATACTAACCGAGAGGAGGTCCGAATGAGTGACGGTCCCTGTGAGCACTCGTGCCCCATTCAACGTGGAGGCGACTGATATCGCTCAAGATCGTTTTCCGCTTGTGCTGCTCTTCGGAGCCCCCCGGTCGGGAACGATTAGTAGTGCTTCTCAAGCCACGTTAATTAAGGCCCGACAACGGAGTCAACACTGCGCCTTCGTTTCGCAACGCAGAAAACTCATAAAATCATCTCGCTAGACGATCCCTGTCATCCTCCTCACGGCCGTTCTGGTGAAGAGATGTTTCGGAACATACGCTCGTGGTTGAAATGCTTCTCTTCACTATGGCTCCTTATACGGCGTCCCTGTGTCGGATCAGACCCCGAGGATAACTTCGTTTCGATGAAATCGTCCACAAAAGAGCATCAGACCCTCAACCAGAAGTTTTATGATTGTTCCAAGATAATGAGGCGCAGTATGATTCCCGAGAACCTTTCCCTGCGAGCTCGATTCGTTCAGCCGTCAGCTCAGATGAATGGATACGGAAATTTCCGATCGGAGCCGATGCGTATCCGGGCAGAGAGACGAGCCGTCCGACTCCATCGATTACGACCTCAACAGGTCGATCGGGTCATGCAAAAATTCCACGGCCTTCCTCGCGCGGAGTTCTCCGCGAAAATGACTCGACGGTATCTTTCGACATTGTTCCGATTTTCCGGAAAAAATCGCTCCGCAACTGACGAGCCAAACGAGGGATAACGGAGCGACAGCGCATTTGCTGGGCTCTCTGAATTTCTCTTACCACTCGGCGATACTGTAATTCGCTCGTGACTTTCATCATCAACTCATTCTCGTGCTGATCGATGGTTCAAAGCCGAACACGGTTTATTCATCTATTCGTCCGCGAGAAGACTCTTATCACTTACACAATAAAATCCCGTCTCTCTACTCCCTCGAAAATCACCGCCCGTGCGACGACGGTCTCCTAATGACTTTCGCGAGATCGACGCCGTTCTTTCCAGTTTCCGTCGGTCTCAGAACGCTTCTCGGGACGCCATTTCCGTTTGCATCAAGGATTCTCGACGCTTGGGGCTCCTGGGGTAAGGATTCTAGGTTGGAGATTCCGCTCAAGGAACCCACTAGCCGCGAGCGCGGGTTTCGCGAGTGCTTTTTGATCTCGAGCGCCGAGCTCATCGTTAACGGAAATCGAGATGGAGCTCTGCGGGAAGAGCGTCCCGCCCGCCCCGGAAATCTTCCACGCCGATGCTCGCAAAACAGCAAGACGCAAGGCACTAAGTGGGTCCCACGCAACTTATTAGAACGACGCTTAGTCGCAACTCTCAAATTCTTGAATCAAAAGCTTGATGAGAAGAATGATTATGGGAAGGGAGCAGAGCAGGTCTCAAGAACCCAGAATTTTCCGCTATAGGTACGCTCCGTCCTTATTCTGTTGGAGTCGGCAGCGAAAGGCGTGGCAAGTGTCAACCCCCAGCCCACTGGCATCTACCGCCATATCTTCCATATCAAGTTCCTCCATATCGAGGGATCGGGGCGATTGAATGGCAATGACGCCTGGAGCCGCCTCGACCAGACCAACTATTCCATCAAGTCATGCTGGAGTCTTGATCTATGTATATCGGAGTTCCGGGCTGGAGGATTCTCTCCTTGATAGGACTCGTCGCCAACAGGTCGCATCACATTTCGTAGCAGCCCCTGGAAGATCGACGGGATGCTTGAATCCATAGCGCTCCGTGTCCATATCGTGCTCGACACTTCGAGAACGGAATCGCTCTAGCTGCAAATGGTCTTTACGCGAGGGTCTCCCAAAGTTTCCACCAGGACCCCGCAAGGATTGCTGTCGAGCCCGCATCCGGGTTTCTGTCCAGGGTTTCCGTCGGGGTGTCCGTGAGTTCTTCAGCCAGAGTTTCCGCGCAATGAACTCTATCCTGACTGACGGCAAGCCACACATGATCTCTGCCAAGAGCAAACGGTCGCTGGCATTCCTTCGACAAAATCATGGCCCCTAGGAATCAGTGACAGGCACCGAGATCCGCGCCTATTGAGTGAACGGCGACGTCAAGTTCCTCAGATCCACCGGAAAGGGCAGGTCGGACGAGGACCGCGTGATCTCCCCTATCCGTCGGAGGAGAACGGAACTCATCGGAAATATTTCCCTTCTTCCAACTCCTTCAGATCCTGGGTTTGGCGGAGCGCTGATCAGCCGGAATGCATCAGAACGCGATCCCTGACCGAGATCTACATACATACCACGGCGTGAGATTGCATTGCAGTTTTCCATTAGTTGGGGGAATTCCAAGGGGTGAGTTCTCCCTTCCCCATTCTTCATAAATACGCGCGGAGAATATCGGATTCAGATCAGGACCCGACTTACTCCACTGCCTGCATGACTTCGGTATTCGCTCAAGCCGCCGAGATCGGTCCCTTCGTCGATGGGACAGCCGTTCAATGCAGGGCGCGACTCACACTAGAAACCATTTGTGGAGCTTCTCTAAGGATTCTCGGGAGCTTTTGTCTGCGGTGTATTTGGCTGTTGTCGGGGTTCGTCGATCAGGGAGCCGAGCACCACGCTGCCTCCTTAAGCTCCCTAGCCCCTGGTCCATCGTTCAAAAACCCAACTCGAAAATGCTCTCATTCGGAATAGCGACTATCAGACTTGACCAGAAAGAGCCGAGAAGACTGTACCGATGCCGCATGCGTAAAGGAGTCCGAATCGGAGTCGGAGCAGTCGACAGGCTTGATAGATCTGAAGCTCTCGGAAAAGCGAATCATATCGGTCCGAGGACAGGTGGGATGTACAACTCATCGAGTCGTTCTGAGGCTTAGGCATTCAGGACCCTCGGAACGAGTAGAAAAGGGGTGCAAACTCCCGGAGCGGGGCCATTGGACCGCCAGAGCGACTGACCGTCGAGGAGACATGGTCGAAACGGAAGTGTCAATTAGGATGGAAACACCCAAGAGTACCGCAGAAAGCGGAACTACTCGACGGAGAGTACGTGGTGACGAGGAGAATCGAACGAAATTACCTACAAGCAAGAGCCAACTTCCACCCTCTCATGATCGAGAGTTTTTCTCGGCCACTTGATCTCGTAGTCTGCCACTTTCAGGAGCCGTCCGCCGCCTGACATTCTTGCTCGAGAGGTATAGCTGATCGAGAACTTGGTCCTCACAGAATTCCTTAACTCAATCGATTCCGACCATGACGGCCCAGAAAAAAGCGCTCGAAGTACGCACGCGCCCCCAATGTCACCAATGAGCCCGAATCGAGCCACATCCCGTATTGCGCCTCTCGATGCAGCGTCGGCGTCGAAGCCCCAAATAGAAGCTACGTCGGCCCCAAATATTTGCCGAGAGCTTTGAACGGCTCCCGTCGTGGAGCTCTCGACGATGTGCCGGGGAGCCCGCGAAATGGCATGAAACGTGCGCGTGCACCCGCGAACGACTGCCGAAGTTCGAAGCTCCGCTCTTGTGATCCTTGCAAGGCCCGGAACGGATTTACGCAAACAAGGGTTCATCATTCTGCGAGCCGTACCGTACGCGACTGCCCGACTGTTCTGGGTGTTCATCCCGTGTCATTGATCCAGCCTTGACGCGCAATACCTCAGTCGTGCTTTTGGTCACGCTGCGATTTATCGCTTGCATGGGTAGAGTGCGACTATCCGGATGATCGAGCTCGTCATTTGATTCGTTTAATTCCATTTTCGCCTGGGGTCCTACTTGGAGTTCGAAGTTCTGCTGCGATGATATCTATTCGGTCTGAAGCGCTCGCAAACGGTCTCGAACTTGCTTCGACAATCAGCCACTTTGCTTTTTTTCGATTGCGGCGAACGAAGTGAACTTTTTATGCTTTCTCCATCGGAGAGACACACCGAGAGCTTGACCGGTCGGTCGTTACTCCGACCGCACAGGCCAGTTCTCGAAAAGTTCCATCAGAAGGACAACACAGAAAGCGCCGGTTCTCCGAGAAACAAACAAACAAGCAGAATCACCGACACAGCTTAATTGTGATCAGCCGCTCATCGAGCTAATCATGTATCGTACTCACAGTTAAATACTGTAGCGTCTCCCGGCCGGTGAGCCTCCTCGAGTCGAAACTTCATCGTGAAACAATACTTTGACAGTGTTCATAACTTTTTGTTCCGTTGTTGCTCTCCGATATTATCCAGTCGCCACCGTTAGCACAACGCTCGATGGGGGACTCTGCTCGCTTTGATCGCGCCGCGTACCCTCTGACTCAGGGTCTCTCTCCAAGGAGGGAGGGACTCAGTGGGTGAGGACACCGCAGCAGAAACAGTCACTTGGACCCAGGGGTGGATGAAAGCAAGCCAGCCAGCCAACAGACATGGAGAGAAGCAAGCGACTCGCAGTCGGAATAGGGGAGACGATAGGGGAGGATTTCAGGGATAGCTGAGGGGGGAGCGGCAGGCATCGCATTGGTCGACGACTCGGGGACATGGGAAGTTGAAGGTACACTTACCGACAGCTCTTTCGAATGGCGTCGCATGGGATTAGCAAGGCTTGCCCAAGTGCGATCGGCTAGATTGCTCTCTAATTGCTGTTGCCATTTGGGGAGTCTGAATATTCTCCGGAGAAAATCAATGACTCCCTGGGAAAAATCATCGCCAACGAGCACAAACTGCAAATCTGTGTCTCATGCGGAACTCCGTCTTATGTTCAATTGTTTGACCTCGTCCTCATCATATGAAGGCTCTCGAACGGCGCGTCCCGTCTCGACATTCCCAGCTGCGTTAAGTTCCGCATAGTATTATGGTCGAAACTCGTGGCCTCAAAACCATCTCATTGCCACCAATCCGCATTAATGTGCGCTGGTACGGAGTACGGAGCTTATCGTTCGTCTGTCGGGGAGAACAACACCCCCTACGGCGGCACTTGTGACCCTCCGATTCCCTGTCATATTAATCGGGATTCGAGATTTCGAGGGTACCAGGGGTTCTGCGTTCCAGAGTAAGAATGGATAGCGCAGTCCAGAACAGTCTCTCTGCAGGACACGTATTAAATGATCTCCGTCGATCTCGATTAAGGGTTGGCGTTTTTCTCCATTCTCGCATTGACAACGGATTTCGGATCTTCCCAAGGTCAAACTTGCCCTCGCTCGCCGGATAGAATGGGCCGCATAACCTACGCTCGATGGAAGATTGGACCGATATTCATCGGAAACATACTCAGTTCTCGACATACGCGCTGGGATCGAATCTCATGCCGGCATCTGACGATCATCCGGGACTTGCGAGTTCTTGTACAACAGAGAATGGCGTTTCCCGACAAGGCCCTCCTGAGTTTACCGGGACAGCGTCGTGCCCAATGCCCTCATCAAATCGTCAAATTTGAGCCCTGAGCACGCGCAGGTGCCGACAGCGCGTTATGGTTGTAATCGATGAGCCTGATTCGCTGCTTCATGAGAATCTGATTCGGACCGGAAGTCGAGCGCTCAGGAATATCGGTTTCCCTTAGTATCTACCGCGAGGGATCGCACGGCCGAAATCCAGGGATCCCTCTAATGAGCTTTTTGTTCCGGATATGCATTCAGGAAGTGAATCCATCCAGGTAGTTTGCATCTGTGACCCGCAAACGTTGGCAATGGGCGTGAATGAAGTCCTGAGAGTGGAAGTCATTGATACCGCCAGTTTTCAGTCTGAGCCGAAGCGTTCGGTGATTGGGTTGGAAACCCCACCCCTCGTTCGGGGCTGGTTGTCCGGAATCATCGGATTCTTCGGGGATGGATGTCGCACGGCTCATCCTGAATGTTATTCATGACAAATTAATCCTCAATCTGAAGCACATCAGCCTCATCGAGTGCTAAGGACTCCGACTCACCGAGACTCCGGAGAGCTTCATCGAGGCGAGGCCTTGCATGTTTTGCGAACAGCCAGGATTCAATCTTCCTCACGGAAGTTGATCAGACGATGTCGCCTCTCGTCCGCGGAGTGGAGTCACGGAGTATGATGGACGGCCACTGCTGGCCACTCGGTCGTGACCTGGGCCCTGCAAGCATGCTCGGCCCATCGCAGGTTTCCAGCTGCGACGCGGGGCTTGGACACTTCCAACTCCTAGTATGGAGCCGAGTACGTGAGCGACGTCGAGAAATCGTGACGCGTGTCGCGAGCTCAAAGTGTATTCACTGGATCGGGGTATTTTTGGTTGACTTCTCTCCCGAGCCCCATGGCCGGCAGACCTCAATCAAGCAGACTGACAGCCCAGCCTGACCATTTCGATGCGAGCTTCTCGGGATTTCGCTTCTTCCCCTCCTGAGCTCATCCGTCGGTCGAACTGCTGAACATCAAGGGCTCACGAGCCGAATGGATCAGTTGCGCGAGTCCCGCTGAAGCTTCAATCTGAGTTTTTCCATCAGAGAAGCTCGAACTGACGACTGCCTCCTCAATCGATGATGAGCGCTTGCCATGCAGCAACCTGCTTGGGGCGGAGATCCCAAGCTCCGAGACACAACATAATCCTGAGGAGCGAGCGCCAACTCTCCGGAAGGCTCGAGGGTCTCGAGCCCCGAGGTTTAAGCGGGGAGGCTTTTGGCGAAGAGATCACATCAACATTTATATTCCTAAGCTTTCTACGCGCTTTTCCAGACCTGGTAACGATAAATTTCCAGCCTTTGCTATTCTCCAATGCTCTTCCCTACCTGATTTGAGGAGGGTTGAGTTTTCGTGGGAACTGTGCAAATCGGCCACGGAGCGACTCGCCTTGATGCTCTCACATCTTCAGAATGTAATTCAAGGCAGCCGAGTGAGCTCGACTACATTCTGGGAAAGTTTTCGAGAAAATGTCTCGTGAATACTTCTCATCATCTCATCCGTTCCCGGCCGGCTGAAAGAGATCTTGTCTCCGGATCTATCCCCGAATTCCCGGATCTTTCGGAGTTCAGGTCGGAAGCCCGAGTGATCCAGCCCATTCGGCATGACACGAACTCCTCGACAATACTCGAGTTTCGCGCGGTGCCAAAGTCCTCCTGAGCGCAAATTTTGGTCAATGCGCGAGTAGTCGGCAACCTTATTTCCTGAGACGCAAGAACTACAAGCACACTCATCCCGAAAGTTAAGTTTATTTGAATCAATTTTTCTGAAGTTGAAAATACATGTGGAATCCTCGACAGTCTGTACGGAAAGTAATTGCGAGACCTTTTACCTAGGACAGGCTCCGATCACTTATTGCTTGGCATGTCCGAGAAGATTATCCGAGAGATTCTCGTCACATGAGTTGCCGTCCCGAGAGGAATCGTTCCAGGGTCTCAGAGCGCCGTAGGGGAAACTCACGAGAAATCCAACGAAGAACAAGAAATGTTCTCGAACAAGAAATTCAGCAGCAAAACGCACAATTTAAGCATATTTTCTCTCATTTGTGGCGAGCTTGAAGGAAACTCGAGATAATCAGCTCCTCCATCGAATTCGCCATGATGCTGATGGATTGGAGAGCTTGGGAGGCTGATGAGCCTCGGAATCAGGAAATCCTGGAGAGCGGACAACGACAGCAACCGATGCTCCTGAGAGTCTCCAAAATATGGACCTGCAAGTCTTTTTGTGCGAGTGGATGTTTAACAGTGTTTATCTTGACTCGCCGTCGGGCGGATTCGGTCTTCCGCATCGAAGCGGCGTCTGCATTTATACGTATGTATGTTCAGTAAGCGGTGTCAATTTGCGATTTCAGTGCGCAGTTCTTGCCGACAGAGAGGACATACGGTGAGCTTCTCAGCGCAATACCGACACACACAAACGTGGCCGCAGGGCAACAGAACTATCAGCTGCAGACCATCACCCAGACACACAACGCAGTCTCTGTCCGCTATTCCGGAATCTTCGAAATGCGTGGACACTCCCGCCGAACGGAATTCGCTCAGCTCGATCTCTTTCTTCAGTATCAACTCATTCAAGTTCGCTGCCAGTTCGACACGCTCCTGAGCAATGTTCATCATATTGTCGTTTTGACGTTTATCACGCTTTTCGTACTCATTAACGGTGAGCTCGTACAGGCGCTCTTCCACATCGAGCATCTCTTGCCGGAGCTCCTTGAGCATTCTCTCTCGGCGCTCCCACACATTGCCGAGATCGGGCTCGGCTTCAGCTGTCGCACCAGGGTGCTCTGGAGACGCCGGGGGAGAATCTCTGTTTTTCTCTTTGTAGTCCAATGGTTCTAGAAGGGGACAGCCTTCGGCTCTAATTTCACAGCCCAAGGAACGGACGCCTGGCGGTAGGCGACTCAACTCGTTGTTGGAAATATCGAGAACTCGGAGTGACTTGAGCTTCGACATCGTCGACGGGAGTTTGGTCAGCTGATTGGAATGCAGGTCGAGGATTTCGAGCTTCACTAAACAACCGATAGAATCCGGCAGCGTCTTGAGCAGATTTGATGACACGTTCAACACCGTCAACAGAGTGAGATCCCTCAGATCCGGCAAGGACTTTAAGGAATTGTGTTGGAGGAGCAACGAAGTCTTGCGGAAAACACGACATTTCGCCAGAACTCCCGGCGGCAACTGCTCCAAACCGCATTCGGAAAGATCGAAAATGGGCTCAGGTGTGTTCTCAGCTAAATACAATCGACGTTGAAGAAAGGCTTGATCTTTTGTCGACGACGCCGACATAGCCGCGGAGTTTGCCTTGTTGCTCTTGAACGGAAACATCTACACGGATACGGATCGAATATTCGTCTGCTGCAGACTTCTCCGGAGGGTTCGCCTGCAAGAGCGATCGGATATGTGAGCAAATCAATATGAGATACGACTTCGGCGAAGGAAACTTACGTACATCCCTCAGCAAAGTCTTCATAACCAGAATTCCCCCTTCGAACCCGCTGGAGCTGGAGTACCACAGACTCGATGCTGACACTGATTCCGAGAAAATGAGCAGAGGGCGAGCCTCATTCAGCAAGCCCTCGATCATTTGCCGACCGACAGTCTCGAAAGTTAGCGTTTCTCGACTTCATACTTGGGCTCGTATCGATATGAATGATGACACTGATCTGTGCCGACGCCGACGGTTTCACAGTACCGAATCGGGCGGTTCCTATGAGGCTCTTTGATCTCTGAGTCCGACTCACCCCGAACTCTACGGAATCCGGGACAGTTTTTAGTCCCGACGGTTGGAGCTCTTCTGGATAATCGTCGGACTTCCATTTATTGAGCATGGAGGCTCATGAGTCGTGAGAATCGAATGCGAATCGCCAAAGTTCAGGTGGGATGCCAGCATGTGCGTTCCTATCTCGATCTTTCCGGAGAGAACAGAGAAGGCGTTTATTCCTCAGACGCCCACGGTTTGAATCCGCCATGTGCAGCCGATTTCCTCGCTCCCCCGACGAGATCCTCCGAAGACCTCAACAACTTCTATCGTCGCAACGGAAATGCGAATGAGGAAATCCAGGCCCCGACTCCGAACGGGCCGGAAAATATTATCATCGAGGATGCCACCCCCAGCGCGCCTGTTGAGGATTCGTCCGAGCGGACGATCGGATCTGAGCTCGAGGCATGTGAAGGTTCCGCGAATCGTCTTCAGGGGGATTGTGACTCCGGGCGTGGAAGAGTTCCTGCGAGAGTTAGGGGGGTGTGCCAATCCTTCCCTGGAAGGATTGTTAGGTTCAGACGATCGGGATGATTTGAACCCAGATGAGGGATAAATTCGTTCGACTTTCCACCTGAGTATTATGACTTCAGCGATCATCAGCTCGATTTATATCAATTAAGTCCTGTTCGAATCGGAAGTAGAGCCTCAATCATTTTGGAAAATATTCTGCGGATTAAGGACAGTAATGAATCTGGCTCCCTCAGGATCTCAGCGACGCTCGGGGCGCCGCGAGATTTGCTCTGTCAGACTGCGGCACGCTAGATCAAACTCGAGAGGACATGGGAGCCGTATAGTCATACTTGGACATCGAACATCCGAATGTTGCATGAAAGGCATTCGGAAGAAATGAAAGTTCCACTCGAGCGATTCCGGGCAAGATTCGGACTTCTAGTGTCCCCGGCGAGGGGAAGTTTCGAAAGCGAAGTTTCAAAAGTTCCCTCATGATAGAAGTTACAATTTACGGGCTATCTTTCGTGTTTTCCTATCGCGTGCTTCACATCATTGAGTGGTTGAGCGAGACCGTGAATTACGACTCGCACGTGGCGCTGCACGTATAACTTGCTCTACTCGCGTTCTATCTATAGATGATTGCTTTTCACACTATCCGATGTGTAGGACCGTACTGACCCTCCCCAATCATGTATGTGAGCACGTTCATTAAAGACTGACCTCACTTGAGGAGTAATATCCTATACTGGTATTACTTCTTTAGTCTGTTGAGATTTGAGATCCGTCCTAAAGGTGCCGACTCATCTCATCGAACTCTTCGAGGACGAGGACTCATCGTTATCTCTGGAGAAACCGACCGAAATTCCCTTCACTTCATAAATATCTGATCTCAGACGAGCATCCAGAATCCAGGAGGACTCCTCCTACGGACATCCACATCGTCGCTGCCTCCGGCTCCCACGCTGCGGATCTAACTAGCAAAAAGTTTGTAACTCTGTTCCTCCTCGATGCGTTTTCAAACCGCTGGACCGAGTGTCTTTTGCACAGTCTCAGAATAAGGTCGAGAAGAACAGTATCGGCGTATCTGGAACCTCCAAAGAAGAAGGATGGAATAGATATCGAGCTTTCCTAGCGTTCCGGATGAAAATCGTCGTCTTGTTCGCATGGACGAAAATCGCTCATTGAAGCATCATATCAACACACTATATCACGATCACGATTCTCCCCTAAAAGCACGAATGAGAAAAATATGTAAGGGATCCCTAGCGGGCCGAGTGAGTGATTAGAGACCGAGCCGCAACGTATAAGATCGGACTAGACGCGGGATCCTTCCGGAGGGTTCTTCCCCGGAGATGGGAACGATCGAATCTTCCTGAGTTGAAGATGAATCCTTCCAACCTGTTTAGAGAATCGTAGCCGAGATTCCTTCTTGGCGTGAGTAGTCTGAGTCGAGACATGGGCGGTCGGCTGACTGCGGGAAACGAAGACCTGTATTCCTGAGCATTCCTTCTCCGGATATCTACGGACAGATTGCCAACAGGGATGGGAACATTTGCTCCCAAGGAAGAAAGTGATTTGAGGCGGTACAAAAACAAGAGGAGGGGTCTCGGTTTCGATTTTTCCATTGGCTTCACGTTTATTGAGACATTATAGGGGGGAATGGTGCATCAAGAGCTGGTAAGCTAAAGAAGTCATTTCCAGAGGGCTGGATCGGTCGATCGATCAGAGGCTTCTAACATAGCTACTAAATCCGGGACCTACAGTTCTAGAATACAATGACGACGAAGGTCTCGATTAGGAGCATCCTAATCGCCATGGTGGTTCGGGAAGATCAGACAGGACGATATTATTCATATTGAGAGCATAGCACTACCTTGTCGAGGGTTGGCTCTCTGATCACAGGATTTTCACTAGGATACACTGCCGCTGAGTACGATGAGTACGACGTTATTGTTTCCTGTACTTCTCGGCGAAGTCTTTCAATTTCTCCCACAGTTTCTCGGGCTCATCAACTGGTGGCAGGTGGTAGTTCTGGCAATAAATAAGGCTAGCTTGAGGGAACCTGACTGATAATAATCGTTATCGACGGAGAGGTTGTGCCATCATATGTTCCAGGCCATCCTGGACAGATAATATGCCCATGAACCGTCCTCCGGCTCGAGGCGCTCGGTGGGGCCTCGAGAGAATGCCGCAGATATGCCACACGGCTGCTGCGAGGGACCACACGCACTCTCATCCAATATACATTCGAGGCCCCTGCCTCTCCGTTTTCTCTCGATGCGATTTCGCGAAGACACTCTCTCTATCATCAGTCAGAAGAGCAATTTTTACAGAAAATACTGATCAGCTCCGAAAATCGAGACATCGATAGGAAGGTAACTCACTTGGGCTGCGTAGATTCCGGTGTATACTCCCAGACCGAAGTAGAGGGTGAATTTTAGCATTTTATTGCGCTGTAAGAACAGATTAGTATTAGGAGCTGCATCGAGGATCGGTTCGAGCACCGTTAATAATTGCGCGGATTCCGGGAAGAAGAGTCATAGACGACCCATCGCGATGGACGTGTCGAGACTCACGACACGTGAGTGACGACATTCAAATGACGAGTTTTTAAGCGAAGCTTGCGAATCAATCCGCTCCGTGGAACAAGCATTGGCCCCCGATGAGAATCCCGGGATGCTCATGTCTTGCATCAATGTCATCCAAGGTTTTCGAATCAACGACCTCGCTCATCGTCCCTACGCTCGGAGCATAGAGCTCAACACGGGATCCAAATATAGTGCGCCTCCGATCAGAGATTGGAGTTACGGACTCGTGGTACAGAGAGCATCCGTTGGTCAGGAGACTTTGAACGAGAAATCGCCCACCGAGACGCGGCTCCCGGAGAACACTGGGAGAACACGGATCGAAGATTCGCTCGCGAGCTCTCTGTTCAATATGACAAGCCTGAGAACATCATGTCTGACAGTAATTCCTGCGGAATAAGGTGAGGGGTGGAGCTCTCGAGAACTTGCGGTTCTCGAGTCACTGACTCTACGGCTTTGATGAATTCTTGACGTCAGAGCACACCGAGGAGACGTCGGTCCGTACTCGCTGATTGGCTTGACAAACCGTTCTCCAATTGCGCTCTTAGAGCGACATTCCTCCCGGGCGGAAGGACGATTAGACTCAAGATCGACCCTGAAATACCTTTAGTAATCGAAGCGGGGGGAGTCCTTGAAACAAACTATACTCGACTTGTCGGAACAGGAGATCCCGTTCTCGCTTCGATAGTAGTACCCGACCGAGCGTCAATTTCGTGAGCCTCTTGATCGGATCATATCGTTGCATATCACAGGCAAGCATCGAACTCTCCCATCAGTCAATGTCTCTGCGGAATCAGGTCTCGAGACCTGGCGTCGCTCCTCTGAGAAAGTAACGCGTACCTCGATTCGGATCGCGGTTTGAATTCCAGCAGCTGATAGAACAATAACAACATTCGGGAGAGTTGTTGTTGGTCGTCGTCTTCCAGAGTTGCTGAGAGCTGCTGCTGCCGGTCAGTATCGACACGCTCCAGGAAACAGAGCCGGTACCTGGGATTTGCGGATTCGTAGAACCGCGCCTGTAGACAAGCTAACTAAGGAAGTCGGCCTCGGGGATAAAGATGTCGAGAAATCGAGACTCCGAGGTCGCGGAAAGGTCTTGACTAGGCGAATCCTTCATCTTGGGGTGGTGATGGAGTTGGGAAGTGGGGCCTACCGTGCGGCAGGAATTTATTCCAAACTCTTTCCGCGAGTCTTATCTGCTGTCATCGATGAGCGTCCGAGCGGTACATGACAAGTCGATGCCGACCAGCCCGATGCCGATCAACTCGATGCCGAGACAACTCGATCCCAGGACGGCTCGATGCCTGAATTATTCGATGCCGACCGACTCGATGCCCGAATTATTCGATGCCAGACGATTCGATGCCGGTCAATTCGATGAGTGCACCGACCGTGCATGCGATCATGCCACAAGTCTATGGTGGTTAGATAATATATGCTCGAAACGCACGCTGAAAAACATGGCTCTGATGCTGAACTAACAACACGGTGATCAGGGTTCGGAGTAGGAATCGAAAGAAAACGAGAAAAGACGTCCCATGATATTCCGATGTCATTTTAATTCAGCTCGACCGTGAGCCTGGCGGCTATAGGTACTTGACAGATCACAATGAGGGTCATATCTCCATAAGAAAATTGTTGGTAACGCCTCGTAGGAATTCCACGGCTGTACGAGCGCCGAATAGGTTCACAAGTTCGCGGAGTCTTTCATCGATTTTGAGATATTTCTAGCGCTTTGCTCTCGGTTGAAGGCCGCTGACGTATCGGGCGAGAAGAATAACCCGATGGTGCTGTATCTTTTTCAACCCATCGATTAACCTCCACAGCGACGGGTGGTCTACACCAAACTCGGGTTGGAGCCTCTTATGCGCAGCCTCGGCATAGTTGTTCGTCCGGGAGTCGTTGTTGATCGTGCGTTCGTAAGCCGACCACATGCGGACGGGGAACAATGGTTCTTGACGTACAACGCTCCCGTCCGGAAGCATATACCGTGACGAACCAACATAGGTGTCTTCAAAACATTTTAGGTCTGGCATTGACTCCTCGGGTGGAAAGACTGCCACCTCGGCATTCACGTTGTCCATGGAGCTCGGGGGAACGAAGGCAAGACCAGCGATCATGCTCGACGAGAGCGAGAAGTTTCCGTCGGTGCGATAGCGGCTCATCAGATTGAGTTCCATGAGCTTTTTCTTCAAATCCTTTACAAGGTGGAACAAGCACCCGTGAATCGCAGCGGCTGGGAAAGCTTCGCTGAAGGCGTTGATTAGGATACTTTGGTAGACAGTGTATTCAAAAGGAATGGTAATAGTCGCCCGACTAGTAGGGATCGCCGAAGGTCTTCTCTCGGCTTTTCGGACTCGATTCACTCCGAGCCTAGGATTCAGGATTCGGAGCGACTAACTTGGCGGCTAGAGAAGATCCTTCGAAAGCATCTTCAATGAGCTGCAGTGCTGTTCTCTGGCTTTCTACCGCACGACGCCGACGCTTCAAGGATCATCTCCGGCTAGCCATCTCGATTGCTCCTGGGTTAGGTTCGTCGCTGTGGGTTCCGATAACTTTGAGGACTTCATTACTGTCGATACAGCTGTGCAAACGAGCTTTGCAAGCACCCACTTGTTGACACCTCCAGAACCGAGTGGACCCGTCTTTGCTCGTCTTCTCCCTGACGTATACATAACCGTCGTGGACTAGTTTGGGCCCACCCCGCGGCGAAACAATTTCGTTTGAGGTCGACGCCATACTGGTTTGATGGGGTATCCGGAAAAGATGACTGCTTTCAAATTTACTCGGACCGCGACCGAAAAGTCTTGTGTGCCACTCTCGAATCGAGTTAATCGTCCGTCAGCAATGTGTGACGCATCGTGGACTCGTTCGATCCGTGGTGAACATGCACAAATGCCGCACATTTTTCCGCTTCGTCTTGCGAACGACTCCATTCAATCCATAATAGGACCGAATTTTCTCAGTGAGAGAATCTTCTCGCGAGAGAATTTTCTGACATCGGGTTGTCCGGACATCGAGTTTTCTCGGCATCGGGTTATTTTTGCATCGAGTTGTCGGCATCGAGTTGTCCGGCATCGGGCCAGGCGGCATCGAGTTGTCGGTGTTCGGCGTCCGAGAACCGATGGTGTCCCGCTGATCATGGACCTGAGCGTCGGAGAGGCGCTCGATCCCGCGACAACCCCACAAGAGCCCGACTGAAGTTTCGTGAACAGTATGAAGCTGCCGTGCCTTGTTTTTTTCGCAGCGATACTTTCGTTTGCGACTTGCAGACCCACCGGATATTCTGAGATTGTGCCGAGGACACTCAGAGACTTCGTGGATAAATTTTGGGGCGTGATCGAACAGGCGGAATGGGAAGTAATCGCCGTCAAGATGGTGCGCGTGCTTGTAGATTACTTCATTGACCTCAACTTCAAGCACTTCTTCGGCAAAACCGGAAGCTCCTCTCGGAACCTCGTCAAATCTGGCGCAAGCGACGCCGACGGAGCGTGAAAGAGGTATTTCTTGGAACGGGGCCCCGCCAATCGTGTCACCACCCGCGTACCTTCATCCAGCTCTCGAATTTAGCGAGGACAGAATAAATAAATCCTCCTTTCTCCGACGAAGTGTATCTTCAATGTTCTGACTTCTCCCCTGGCCTTGTGCGGTGAAACCTTTGAACTCCGTTGCGACTCCCCCTCCCAAATCCCTTGGAATTCCCCAGAAGATGGAGCCCGCAGCTTCGGGGGTGCTCCTCTCATATCCAACGATTCTTGAGAATTCGAAATTTCGCGATGAGAGACGATTCCTGCCTCAGAATCCTGAAAACGGATCTCGGCCTCATTCTGTGTCTAGCATGAGGTTCAAGTTTTCTCATTCGCGAGGTCCTTTTCCCGGACGGAATGTGCCTAGAAGGTCCCTCTTGCCGCCAAGAGCAATCGTACTCGGAGCACTCTCATGTCCAAGCATCGTCCATCATCTCCGCAAGGGGAAGATGCATCTTGTAGGGGAAATAATCGAGAATCCATCCCAAAGAAAATGTTCAATTTGGAGTGGACTTTCAGTCAGGAAGCGGAAAAGCGTCTGTCGTTGCCTGATTTACGTAATGGTCTTTTATTTGAGCATTCTTGCGTCAAGCGAAGAAGGAGGAATCATACATACATGATCGGTCTGGGGCTCGAGCACACCGGAGCTTACAATGATCGAATATTTCGCTCGTACGTCATCGTGGAATTGTCTATCGTTTCTTTTTCTTTAACTCACATCAGGAGAGCTTCGGTTGAAGTCGGAGAATTACTTCTTTCCCCAGAAAAAAATTAGGATGCGCGATTGCGGTTTCTAGAGCGAGACCTCTCTCTCGATGGACTCCGTGAGAAGCTCCTTTCTCGTGCTCCTCCTCGCGGTATTCCTCCACCTCTAGGTTCTGCTCGATCCTTCCCGTATGACCTGCTGCGAGACCTGGATCGACTCCGAGAGAAAGAGCGTCTCCGATCGAAGCTCCTCGAGCGATCTCGACGCCCTCCACGTCCTCCTCGGAAACCTCCATTACGCCTCTTGCCGTGAGACATCTCACATTTAACGCGAGAGCCACAGATCCTGTCGAGTGGAAAATTCAGAATATTATCGAATGGTAGACGGTGTCGACGAAGTGAAAACGTCAAAGCTCATCTACTCCAACTCCGAACACGATCACCTCGAGCTTGGGGGCACTGAGCATCTCTCAGTCCGCAGGAGGACGTGCAGAAGTTGCAGGAGCAGAGCTGCTCGTCCGCCAGAGCGCAGATGGCGATTAGAGGGCGAATCTGCCGAGCCACTCAGGTCAAAGAAGTTCACTGCGGCGCAGGAATTCGACGGTGGATGATGGTGTTGACGTTTCCGCCTCAGAGTACAGCGATCTCCTTTCCGCGACGGAGTACAAAATCGGATCGAAGCGCGTCAACAGCCGTGGTGGACTATTGTGAGAGAGCTCTATGCGGAGCCGATGCTGCCGACACGTTGTCTCCGCTGTAATCGCTGAGGACTGCAAGGCGTCCTGATGTAGGAGCAGACTGAGCTCAGCCCCGTGGAAAAATATTCGAGATGCACTCGGTTCTTCCTCCGCGCTGGAGTTCAGGGTGGCGTCGTGTACGCATCGAAAGCCGCGCCGGCAGAAATCTCCAAAACGATGCGGTTGTTCCTCAACCATCGAGGTTAAGCCTCGAGCTCATCGGCTGACATAGGCAGTATGCGAAAAACTGCATAAAATACAAATCGTTCGAACTAGAGGGTTGCGTGTAAATGTCGGACTCTGCGAGATTACCTGCTGCCGTCGAGAGCTCTTACGGCGTCTTCAGCGTCCCGGGAGTCTTCGAACTCCACGAAAGCGAAACCGGGAGGGTTCCTCGCGACCCAAACATTACGGAGATTACCGTATTTGCCGAATGCCGATTCGATGTCGTGTCGTGAAGTATGGTTGGCCAGGTTCCCGATATAGACCTTGCAGGTCAGCTCCCAGTCACGGTTCGACATCTGCGATAAGGAATTGAGAAGACTCATTAGAACGGAGCCCAAACGTGCAATCAATATCGTGCAAGAATAAAGTGTTCGCTTCATCCGCGATAACCGATACCGCCGGCCACGAGGGATCTGCGAACGGCATCTCGCTCAAAACTATAGTCTCAGCTCTCTATCAGCTAGATCTACCCAATGCCGGGACCGCGATTCCTCCGAATGAAGCCGGAGCCTCTTATTAATACATTCCAATTCAAATATCCATTATGATCCCAGTCTCAAAGGAGATATCGGAGCTGGAATACGCACTCGTCACTCTATTCTGTGCATAGTCCTGAGCGTCCGTTGGATCATTCAGTATTCAGTGCTAGGACGACTGTTTCGGCTTCCGTGATCTCCGGAACTTCATCGCAGCGCATCGAGCCGATTTTGATCGTTCTCGATGAGCCTCGAAACTGAACAGAAGCTAGAGACAATCTTCGAATCGACGAAGCTCACCTTGGATGGTCAATGTGCCCTGAGGTATATCCGATCCGGGAGTCGGTTTTCGTCCTCGCTCCGAGTGTCTGCGTGTTAGTACCGCCTGCCGCCACAAACAATAACTGAGAGAGGACAGCTCTCCGCTCCGTATCCCGTGTGTCCGCCTTTGAACCACACACGCGTCGAATAACTGATCCTGCCGCGCGCACACCGGTCTATCGCGACTCGTAAGCGAGCGGCAGCATTCCAAACTGCGCTATTTAGTCGAAGAGCGGCAACTTTAAACTTGAGTCACTTTTTCATCATTATATTTGACCCCCTCCGTGGGATTTGATAGCGTCAGGGCATATCCGACGTGATCATAGAGATCGGTATCGATCAGGGGTCATAAAGTTTGGACTTTCGGGAGAGCTCAATGCAAACTCCATGTCTTCGCCATTTTTTTCTGCCTGGCAATCAATCGTTCGTATCGTTCCGATCAAACAGCGCTCGGGGCCGTCCTCGATTCCGTTCTACGACACCTCTGTGGCTTCTCCCGTCGAAATTGAGAGATCTCTCTCAGCGGGGACAACGGATAGGAATGAAGCCCTACGCAGAGAGCCTTCGTGACTAATTCACGCGCTCTCCGGCAAGAATGTCCAAGCAAGAGTTCCGAAATTCCGATGATGCTGTGACTTGTCATTTTCCGAGTCTCTATTCGTCCACGAAGGTTGGTCGATGGATGGGTAATCTCCGAAATTCGGAAGTTCAGCTGTGCAGCCCTCGAATATGCATATGTCGAAGGACTTTCTCCTTCTGCGGGTAGAGAGATATCTAATTGGTCTGAGCTCTGTGTACGGGGTCCAAAATCCGTGACCTAAGAAAACCCCGGTTTTTTATTTTCCGGCCATGCCTCATGATACCCCCTCCTCTTATGGCCTCACACCAGCGATTAGCGACGAGACCTCGAATCGTCGGGAACGTCGATTGGACCGCGAGTCTGCGATTCCCCGCTCCTCGAGATTTGTCGTGGCCAGCTAAGACCCGAGTCGCAGTGTCAGAATACGTCGGAGGACTCGAGTAGGCTTCGTCGGACTCACGTCTTGCACCTCTAATCCCGGGAGCACCTTCTAAAGGCCTAGCCCGCGATTTCAAGCTGTATTCCTCAGAGATGGAGCATCCGAAGGTCGCTTTCGGAGTTCTCGCGAAACTCTTTTCGAACAACGTGGGTACAGGAGTCGGAACCGTTTTCTCGTGCAGCGACTTCCGGAAATAGATGGGTAGAAGGGAGGAAGCGTTCGAGTCGGCGAGAATCTGGATTGCAATGCCAGGACCTGGGAAGAATCTTATGTGAGCCAACAGATCCAGTCATACGCTACGATAGGACGGTATTCTACTGCGCTCTACAAAGGGTCTCCCTAAGGGTTTAGGGGATGTTTGGGGATAGCGTTTTTCCCACGATATCGACTCAAACGGCATCCGCGTCCGGAGAAGATCCCTCCAATTCATCAAAGGGATAGCTCGCATGGACTATGGAGAATTCATGGGACAATCAGTACGCGGAAGAACACGCGCTGGGAATGGAGGAGGGATCTGCGATTTTGGCCTGAGGGTCGAAAATTAGGTCGAACCTATTCGAGAAGCGCAGAACCGAGCCTCATGACTGACGGGAGTCATAGAAACCTAGCGTATCTGATTTCAAGATTTCTAGAGAGTTCGCTATGTGGACCAAGATCAAAATCACTGGCGGGGGGAAACGATCTCGTGAGTAGAATGTCTCGTTCATCGCAGTAACATTGGGTGATACCATCCGAAACGCTTGTACAATGAGCATGTCGTGGCATGATTGCCGATCATGTTGTCGATGAGCTCCGAGCAAACTCGAAAGTCTTCGAAGAAATATCGTTCCCCGATGGCATACTCAATTCGGCTGGATATCCGAGAGCGTCTTATCAAGAGGGAGGCGGATTCTCCCTCGCGTCTCGAATCGGGGAGGAGGAATCTGCTGTCAATCTCGCTAGGATATTCGAAGGGTTGCTCACTTCCACAAAACTCGTCGAGACTCATTACGGAGATGCTCTTCCGAAACCTACCCTCCGATCTGAAAGTGGGCAGACTGGATCAAATCTTGCCAAGAGAAAGATCCTTGCGCTGGGAGCAAAAGCTGCGACCCTGTGATTTGTGCGAATATTACGACCTGGAATACTTCATATGTTCACGGAAGCACGTCACCTGTTCCACGTGCGCTTTCGTTGACAGCGAATGCTCTCCTCCTCTTACGATTTGGTGCCATGGGTGCAAGGCGTGGACTGGAGCTGATCCAGCGCAGAAGACTCAGGTCGAGGAGGAAATTCGTCGAACCATGTTCCGTTGTGGCTGCGGTATCGACGGACTTCTGAGCCACATTCGGGAACATATTGGCTCGCTAAATGATCCCTCGAGTCGATGCGGAGCGACCAGGCAACCCCCGCCCTCCAAGACCGTCGATAACGCCGTAAAATCCCTGCGTAAAAAGTTGTCCAAGTACGATCAGAGATTCCACGACTTGGAATATCAACTGCACAAGGTGGAGAGCGACGCGAGGGAGTCATGCCTCGAAGTCGAAGACTGGATGCTTTTCACGGGCATCCGATTGTTCCGATTCAATTATCAAGAACTCATGAGGAATTCTGAGGTTCAATGCTTCCCGGAAGATTCCTTCCCCTGCATCCATGCAATGACATTGAGCGTGGAAATGAGAAACGGAGTTGAGTGGTTAGCGCTCACGCTCAGAAGTCGCGGGAACGAGGAACTGAGAGATGATTCTTTGGTATTCCGATTGCACGATAATGACGGTGGTGTTCTGCTTGATATGCGCGTGAAGGCCAAGAGAGGGACCCGGGACTTCGTATATGTTCGGAAAGGAGAGCGAAGAGAAGTCCAGAACGTTCGTCTCATCGAGTGGGCCACAGTCGAGGACACTGTAATGCGTGCAAGAGACATGGAGAACATGATGATCTGTTCACTCGAGACGCTACATTGATGGGGATCGGTGGCCTCGCTCCGGGATTCCAGACAGGAATTTTCTTCATTCTACGCAGGATGTGACCTCCGCGAAGATGTGCGGGAATCGATCCTGTGTCGCGGCTAAAATCATCCATTCCCCTTGAGCTATCTTGCCAGGATTTTTCGAGAATAAATTACTTCATCCTAACGCTACAAGAACTCGCCTTCACTGGGGTTTGATGATCGTGTGTCTCGATACCTCGAAGACCTGGATCAATGATCATGAGTGCAGAGGTCGTCGGTTTCGGGATAATCCTCTCTCCATTCAAAAGAAAGCAGTTGGATTGATTTCAGGTTGCGCGGAGAGGCTAGGGAGCCGAACGGTCCGGTGAGTATTCATTGATCATTAAGATCGCTTGCGGTTCCCGCTCAACCTGACCCCTTCTCAACACGAATCGCTCGGAAACATCCAATCTCGAGCTAAAGCGTGAAAACCTGATTCAGGAAATTATCAGATTATCTCCAGACCTCTCATCGAATCCCCGGCTTGCTTGATTGAATTTGTTGTTCGAATCCATTCCAGCGAAGTCTCAGACGATACGGAACGGGAATGCTCGGAGTCGCGGAATGCCTCCGCTGGGTTTCGAAATCGAGCTCGAGACGTTGTTTATACGACAATGATGTCGCAAGACCACTAGCGAGCGCTCGGAGGTCGGAACAGCTCATAAACTGTTCTGGAATGCAACCCGAAAAGGCACAGTAAGGAGCCATGGGCTCAGGAGCAGCGGTTTAACCCGAGGAAGCTGAATATTATACACAGTGTGGGGGACGCTCCGTTCAACCATGTATCCATCGCCCCTGAGCGGCAGGTATTAACGGGAAGACATTGTAAATTGCCTGCTCTCGGAGGACGTTTTCCAGATGAGCCGACACGCCCGAGTTGCTCTGCCCGCATAAGGTGCCTGCTCTTTCCCGAGCACCGGTATGGTCACGAGTTTGATTTAGATTACCGATTACTAGGGCTGGGAAGTTGGCGCGATCGCTCCAAAAGCCGTGAATTCTCACGGTATTTCCAGGCGATCCTCCAAAAGAAGTCAATGGGGGTGGAAATTGCCGTGAATTTTTTAGAAGAACGCCGTGAATGATTCCCAGCCTTACCGATTACCCAAGCCGAGTAAAAAAACTGACGGAAGAAGAGCCTCTGCCGAGTAGAATCGATGCCTGCCGATATGAACCCGTCGCAGGACTTATGGGTGTGTCGTGTACTGGCATTGATGATCTCTCATTGACACCAGTGAGTCCCGATGGCTCGCCCCGCGGAATCTTGGACGGGTCATTGTCCGTAGTAGCATCAAGTACCAATTTCAGAATTTCAAGAATTTCGGAAAGACCCCTGATGCAGAGGAGGGGCAGAGTTGCAGCTGAAAGGAGAATCGAGGGAACTCCGCCTCGCTGAACTCACAGGACAAACCTCGATAGTATAAGTAAGTCATATATATATAGAGAAAGCACAAAACTCGGGGAGCGGGCTGTCAGGATGTCGACCGACAGGATGGTTTCAGATGATTATTATCTCAGCGAGCTGGCGCCCATACTATCTCACGGGAGCGTATCCATAAATCTTCCGTGCACACTTCCGCTGCGCTCGTCGACTGTCGACGGAGGGACGTGTTGCGACAGCTCTGCCGTCTCAAGCAGCTCGGATCGACTGAGGAGCTTTGACGGCCCTTCTGCTCGACAGACACGGGGCACAATTAGGTGATTCGCCGCCAGGGCGTTCGCTCTCTTTGAGATGAGGCCTCTGCAGCGACCAAGTCGTCGCAGAGCTCCGGAACTCATTTTGAAACAAAATGATCGGAAGAGATCAGAAGTTCATCAATACTCGGCAGTATGTTGTTCCCTCATCCCGACGGGGAGTAGTGGCCTGGTCAGGATGAGTCAGAGGCGAATGATAATGCACAACAGAATCGTGAGCTACTCGATACAAGCTCCCGACTGACGCCGACAGTTCGAGTGTGAAGCTTCACATCCCCTAAATCAATGTCGGGCTCACTCAGCTGCGCGGATTCTGTTCGAAGGCTCGACTTGATACAGTGGAATCTCGTCGCAGCGAACCTCATGGGACAAAAAAGATGTTGTTCGTTCAGTGTGTTCGCTGCAAAGAAAGTTCAGGAGCTTTCCAACAAGCAGGGGTGAATGAAGTGTACGTTCTGCTGAGATTTCGTTGTGTCGGTGTTCGTTGTGACGAGATTCCACTTTAATGCAATCGCTTGCACAATTGCCGGAGCAAGAAAGTTGCAACAGACTCGATAGGAAAAATTTCGAATATCCGTTTCGGCTTGCTGCTCTGCATCGAATTTTCTTCGTCCAGCAGCTTCCATGCCGGACTCGAGCTATCGACGACGTTGGAGCGCCGCAAACTTTTGTAAGCGAAGGGGGAGGCAGAGTACGCGGAATAAAAACCACACAGCGACTCTCTTTCCTTATACTTGCCTGCAATCTCTGTGCTAAGAGCGTTGGGTAATGGGATCGATGTTTAGGTGAAACGCTTTCTGACCTTGGAAGAAGATTGGGGAACCCTAATTCTTTTTCTGTAATGGATTCGAAGTTTATCGGGGTAGCATGAAGCTGAGAACTGCACCTTATCGGAGTTCAGGAAGCGGTGGGAAATGAGACGGATATCGGCGGAAGCAAGCATTGCATGCTGGAGCGGTCACGCGAGTCGCAGACGGACCCGAGGCGGCAGCTTACATGCGGAGGAGAAAAACAGGATCAGCATCCAAGAATGGGCCCTGTCGAAGAGCCGGAACTCCAGAATGCCCGCCTTACACGCCATGCAGGCCGTCGCGCAATCGCAGTCGAGAGTAGATTACCTCATCTGAATTTCGGATGCATAAGGCGGCAGGTTTGATTGTCTTCTAGGAGTTCGATGCATCCATCATTTTCGTGGAATTGTGGGACTTTCATCGGATCCGGGCGGGCTCATGTGATATGTCATTTGACATGGCTACTTTGGAAGGCATTCTGAGTTCTCCCAAATATTCCCGAGAAAGAAGCGTTTCCTGGGGTCAGTCCTGATTTCGAGTCCTCATGCCCTAGCGCACACTTTCGCCGATGACGTAATGCTATGTCGATGTGTGCCATAACGCCCATGGACTCTCAGATGATCTACACGGCCAAATAGGGCGCTACATGACATATTCGTGCGGATGCGATGGCCTGGCTCTTGTAAAACTCCTGTCGTGGAGCACATCCACTTGTATAGTTCATCTCCGTTGGGAGGGCTTGGAAACTCGTCGCACTGATGCGAGTTTGTCGACGCGCCGTGAGTGACGGAGCTGACTAAGTAGAGCCCAGAGTCTGACGAGAAGAGTTCTGTGACCTAGCGAAATAGAGACTTCGAGTTGCGCCTTGAAAAAGAAAGCATGCGAGCGAAACGGAGGAAACTCCACAAGGCGTCTAAGTTCTCCTAAGTCATCCAAGCATTGTCGCTAAGGTATTCCTCCTTTACTGTTTTGGGTCTCCCAATCTAGTAATGACTTACCTCAGAGCTCTAGAGTGCGGGATCTGGATTCTCTGTCGAGGGAAATCTCGCGAGCGATGATCGATGAGGAAAATCTCAGGAGTGCGACCGACAGAGAAGGGGAAGCGGTCTTCTCCGATATGGGATTTTCCTCGCTGTGAGCAAATTCTGGGATTCGTGTCCTCTTTTCATGCTTTGCGACATTGTGTCGTCACCGAATCGCGCCCTAGAAGGGCTCCAGACAGGAGCTCGATAGCCGTGGAGGACTCGTCAACGAAACCCAAGGGACGTAGAATGCTGCTCACGAGATCGAGAGGTTGCTTCCGAATGAAAGCTGGGGGGTGGTTACGGGCTGAAGCTGATGTCGGAAGTCCGAGTCTTTGAGGGAGGAACACAACTGGTGATGGAACTTCAAGTCTTCAAGGGGGAAAAATCCTGCATTAGATTAAGGGCGTCCTGATATGCGATCTCCCTCGTTGAACATTCTTCACGATCACTTTCCACGATCTAGGGTCGTCACAGATCACGGAAGCGGATGGATCGGAAATTATGAGTCCTTTCTCAATCCCTTGAACGAGATCGGTTCCGGGGCGAGATTCGTCGGCCTAGACCAGTGGTACTCAAAGTTTCACGGGCCGTAGACCCACGTGGACCCACCTATGGATTTGTAGGATTCTATAAAGAGCCGAAAATCGCCATGGACCCCCAGGGGTCCCTGTGGACCTGTTTGAGAACCACTGGCCTAGGCAATAGAGCCATCACAGCGTTCTCCGTAGGATCGGGCGACTCTGCGAGGGAGCCCTTCGATACTTTTTTAATGAATACATCGAACCCGCCGTTCCAGATTCATGGTTGTCGATCCTCATCAATGGAAATCATGCCTCAACCTGATTAGTCGACTCTCCTCCCGCGTAGACGATTCATGACGCCCGTCGGCTCCTCCCCTGTTATATTTGCCGTCCGCGTGGATTAGAATCCTCTCTCTCTGGACTGGGTCGCGGAATTCGACATGTCTCGACTTCTGCTCATCATTTGGACGTCGGGAGGGAACAGAATTTAATGAAGGGGTTCGTCACCGTAGCGTTCCTTCAGATCATCCTCACACATGTCACAATGGAACGGCGTGCAGTGGGGCGTCTGAATTTTCTAAATCCAAGGAATGCCCAATGCGTCTCGGGCAGGGCAAGCAGATCCGTGATGGGAGCATCTGAGACACGCGGGGTTTCCCGACCCCTCGTTGACTCACTGGTATTACGATTGCCTCAATCTCCTCTTCCATCAAAGTAATTTCGTCGAAGAACCTCTAATCTCTATTCGTACGGGATACAGGATCCCGCTTGCTCCGGAATCTCGCTCTGTCAGCTCAGGAGCGCTACGGGGATATACTATCCTCGGAAACTCTGAACTTGGCTACCGGCTGAGCGATATCTGTCGTCCCTCGGGTCTGTCGGACTGCTTCATCGACATGCGATCCCCGGAATTAATGCATGCCATTCGTCGATCGCGCTCTCAGGCCCTCATCGAATCTCGCTAATAACTCGAGCCAGGATGAGAGCAGACCAAGCCGAATTTTCGGCTTTCAGAACTTTCCCAGCCGATAGGGAGCCTTTCGTAACCCTGGAGAGTGAGAAATATGACTTTGACCAATCACGTGAAGTCGTCGTCCTCGTCGTCGAGCTTACGCAAAGACCCGAAACGGACGGTCGTTGTTGTTTCTGGAAGTTTGCTCAGATGATCGTCAAACGAAGCGGAGCAGCAAGACGAAGGCGGTTACTTCGTTACTATTTCACAACTCGACGGGCAGACGTTCAGCTGCTTGCGCACAGCCGGTGGGGTTTCCTCAGATTTCTCCCAATCCTGCCAGAAAAGTGCGCTTTCTGTGCAATCCGAACAGAAATCGACACCACATGAATTATTGTTATGATGATACCACTTTGACGAAAGGGTGGAACTCAACGAAATCAGCCCATCACCGGTCTGTGGAGCGTTATCTACTCGGTTTTCACCGTACGGATTGGAACGGGTTGAGAAAAGTTGGCACTTACACAAGCGTACGACGGCTTCGGCCACTTACGAAAATCGAGGTCTGACTCGCGGGGGCTGAATTAGGCAACACGGCCGACGGAGCAGCCGACGACTTCATCGAGACGAGCCAGAGAAAGTTCTTGAACCGTAAAAGTCGGATGACTCACAATCCGCATTCCAGATTCTCCAACCTATCCACCCTCTCTCCTCGGAAGCCTTTCTCTCTGTTTTGTGATTCATTTGAACAATCATGGATTTCACGAGCGATCGGCATAGGTGAGCGCAGCAGCTCCGAGAACTCCTGTCGGTTTCCTCCCTCGGCATGTGCCTCTCCTGTCGAAGACGGGGAGGGGGTACGAAGCAAGGGGGCGAGATGAACGGATCGGCTCGAGAGATGGGCATGGTGACGCCACATTTGAGCGCAAGTCGAATTGACTGCGCTCGGATCGGTTGCGCTTGCATTGGATGCGAGCTCGAATTGGATCCGCGCCCAAGTTGGATCCGCGCTCGAATCGGATTCGCGCTCGAATTGGATCCGCGCTCAAATCGGATCCGCGCTGTCGGAGCTGCGCTGAAATTGACTTGCGCTGAAATTTGGGCGCACCGATAGGCACAGCTATCAGGCTTCGTCTGGATCCGAAAATTACTTTGAGCATCAAGTAGAGGAACTATTTCGACAAATCGCGGAGTCGATAATAATAATCCGTAGCCTAATGAGGGCAATCGAGCGCCGTGCGTCGCCTCGATTTGGAGCGTGATCATGATCCCCGACGGCGACACTTCCCTCTTTGCTGGTTGTATTTCACTTCTTTCGGGAGGAGTATCCGGCGCTGTTGAAAGCTTTTGGATTTCGCTCAAAGTATATGAAGTAATCGAATCGCTTGCTTGTTGGCCCGTTCGCTGGCTCGTATGAACAATGAATGCGTCGTGTTATGTGCAACACTCACACGCACGCAGACAAACACGATGGATGATGACCTTGGTGCCGAAGTTCTCTTGTCATCAACAGTCTGTCCATCCTTCTGCGGTTGTGTCGCTCGGTTGTGAAGATACACATTAATCAGACGCGAGGCGACATAACTCTCGATATTTCAACACAAAGAGTCTGATCCGGAAAGATTGCGGATAGCGACTATTGTCCGAGAGTTTTGAGCGACTGACTGAGCTAGAGACTCGATTCTGTGGACTTTTCTCTCCTCTTTGACAAGCCATTCGGAAACTATACCGAATATCCGGGAAACGATGGCGACTAGAGCGGCCTCGGATGGAGATTGTCTTCTGAGCACTTCTTCCCCGGGAATCACCTCGCGGGGCGGCCTGCACTCAAGGCGTGTCCCAGACATGACTCAGAACGCCCCTGCTGTGTCCTCGTAGCGGATTCGAATGTTGTTCTCCGCAGAGGCGAGGGCAGAAGTTCCTCTGCATCTGACAGGTTCTCCGGTGCGGATTCAGTCATTCAAGTCGATAGCTCACAAGGACCTCTGACTGTGGAGTGATTGAAACTTTGAAGTGGAACACAATGGAAGGTCAAATTGCTTCGAATTTCCGTCATGTTTCAGAAAAGGTTGTCAGCGCCGCCAAAGGACGTCAAGTTCGACTCGTTGCTGTATCGAAAACGAAACCCAAGGTATTCCATATGATTAGATTCTGGCAGCAGGTCTCTACGGTGGATTGTAGACTAGAATCGTTTGAGACGGCGTGGAGCCGCTCAGAAAAAGAGCTACGGGGATTTAGCCTCCGTCGATTGACCCAAGCGTTCGTATTCTTCCGCAACAGTGTTACAGAAGAAAGTTCCCATGATAAAAAGGTATTTCCAAATGACGGGAACGCCGATAATTCGATGTTTCACTGAAAAATGTAATCCGGCATCGACGTCAATGCGGACGAACGTGAAATTTGCAAAATAGTTCAAAAAAGCGTGACAAGGCCGTAGGTAGAGTTTGGAAATCGCTCGAACATACGCAACTTTTCTCCGAAACATGTGGTCATGAACATCCAGAAGACTGGCAGCCAAGCCGCACGCAGCGCTCTGTTATCGGAGCGCCCATTTTTTTACGCAAGATATCTGTTGGCATCCGCTGGAATCTCATCTCTTGAACGATATCAACTTGTCTCGATACAGTAGCTCGTGGATCATGAGTAATCCCACGGTTGGGTTCATATAGAACGGGGTGGCCAACTATTGCGTAGGCAAGGCTCGCGCAATCACGTGACCATAATGCCACGTGCTCCAGAGGATACCCCCGTATGAGTACACGCGGCGTAGCAGAGCCCGCTTTGCGTAGGACTCGTCCCCCGGATGAGCCGCTGCGCCGTCAGGAGGGCCGAGAACCTGGGCTCGCGGGCAGAGACTTCGAGGCCCGAGGAAAGACCTATGTATGTATAATTTGCCCTGAAAAATCTCTCTACTTTCGAGCGAGAAAAAATAGCGACGCTCCTCTCTGTCCTCACCTCCAGCTGCTCTCTAGGCGTCCTTTGCTAGTCCGCCTGGATGACTAGACCGCTATGAGCGTGCGTCGACCTTGCCTCGGCGTGGATTGCAGTGGGAGCGCGCGGTGAAGGCTGAAGTTCTGAAACGCCACTTCACTGTCGCTTTCTGTTTGAGGCCTTGTTTCACAACTGCAATACATCGGGCTCTTTTGGCGACCGTGTAACGTGTGCTGACTGTTACGCAAATGTTATAAAGCGTCGGATTGCATCGCAGATTTGGCATTCAGGCGTTTTGTTCAACACACAGTCAAACGCGCGCTGCAATAACAAAAGCCATTCGGCGTCGATAATGTCAAAATTTCGATTTCAACCAAATGCATGAGCGACTTTCGGATTGAAAAATGGATTTTTGATCTGGCTCTAAGGACCAATGCATGTATAGGTGAGCTGGAAGCGAATTCGAGATGCTGCAGAGAAGCGTATCGCGAACCTGCGAAGAAACCTAAGTCGTAACGGGGATTTTCCTGATAATGAAAACACATGAAGTCTGTATTGGGATAAGGATGATATAATTTATTGTGCAGGAATCGCGGATTTGGTCAAGTGGCGTGAGAGGGGCCCGGGCGCCAGGTTGCGATTATGAACAGGAGCCTGAGACAGTGGTTCCATCAGGTTCTGAAGTCGAAAGGAGTGCTCCGATTGATCGAAATGTTTGTGCTCAAGTCGACTCTCCTTTCTGGGAGCGATTTACATGAAACTAAGATCAAAGACATCCCACCTTCTCTCGGAGCATTGTCCATGCAATACTTCCTTTCGACTTTCGACGCCGCAGGATGCGTTGTCATCAACATTCATCTTGATGCTCGCTCGCAACGATTAGACCGCAGACCATTGGTCGAGATGCATATCTTGTCCGGTCCGACCAGACGTGAAACAAGGTGCTCGCACTGTCACCCGCATGAGAGAACCTATCTACATATTCTAGTTCCTGACGGGTTGATATCTATCAGAGAGTGCGACCATGCTCGAAAATCTCGGAGTTCGATGCGGTATCCGAGTTCTGCTCCTGTGAGAGAGCAGAACTCTTTCCTCTAAGCAGCATGTCATCATGAAGCGTTCGTCCGCTTGAAGCCATCGAATCTTTCGGATTCTCCTCGAATGGTCGGACGGCGGACAATCTATAGCTAAATGGCTGTCTGGTTTATCTCTCACAAAGATCCGTGTGGAATTGAAAACATTTAGGCTGTTCGAATCCATCGACAACTCTCTCGGCCACATAACTCGCGACCTTATCGAGAGTTGATTCGGAGCCGACAACAGGATGGGGCAATGAACATGTATGGACAGACGGGCTTCTAGACATATCGATTGAGATCATGGAGGCCTTCACTGTCTTCGGGTTGAATCGTTGTGGATACATATGTATTGTTTCGTCAGACAATCTTCGTATTTCTTGTGTAGCACAATCTGATATTTGAATGATTATTCTCGCTGTAGACAGTCCGTAGGAGATATTGGCGGAATCCGTGGATGAGATTTCTCGTCAACGGGTCCAGTCGGTCAGCAGGCTGCAGTCTTTGCATCTATCGGAGCTTTCCCAACGATGATGCCGAGAATGATAATTTGTTGCTGCCCGTCTGATCAGGGGCTACCTGGGTTCGGACTTGATTTGCTCAAGACGACGGTATCGCGCACGTGGATACAGTGTCTCCACGATATGGATGTAGGTACATACAGCCTAATGGTTTCTGCTAATTATTTCGAGTACTAAATTTCCAAACAGATGCATTCTGCGAAGCGCAAACAGAAGTTAGAGCCAACTTGGTTAACAATATCAATCCAGTGTCCCGTGATTTGACTCTCGAATCGGTGCTCCTCATTCGTTTACAGAGTCGCTTTCTTCAAATAGGGTCGATCCCGTAGCGATCGCTCCCGATACAATCCATCATATCACCCTCAAACTATCTTGTTCATGCTCTAGATCCATGCACCGTATTGTGGGTTAAGTTGCTTCGACATCGAAACTCCCTATTCGAGCCGATAACGGATAATAATTGGATTTGTAACAAAAATAATTCGTCCGCTTCGGAGTTGCGATTCCGGAAGCTTCCGTGGCCAGTATATCCCCTCGGGAGCCTTTGCCTTTACGCCATTGAACTAGGGGCCCAGACGTCGTTCTCTCAGCACTGATTTCCTTCCCCACATCGCCTCGCTTTTCACCAGTTCGCCGACCGACAGATCTGCTCTCGGAATCTGGTCTTCGCCAGCCGTCAGCCTTTTCCCATATCGACTTCGAGATCCCACAGACTCCTGAGAATTTGAGATCGGCTCGAGAACGGGTCTAATTTCCGTCACCCTTTGGTGTTCTTCTTCCCTGACGGTTGAAGCGGATGCGCATACAAGGGTCGTCTCTCCTCCAGAGAAAACGTCCCGTCCCTCCGTTCGGTAACTGTTCAACTTTCCAAAGCATGATCGGGCGAGGTTTCGAAGTAATGAGAGCGGATTTGAAAGAGTCTTCACTCAAGAACCTCGATGCCACCGATCGCTTACCCTCGAGATGCGTCCCACTATCTGGTATCTTGCACAAAACTTTTTCCTTCTCGTCTACCCAGCCCTTGATTGCACTGCTCTGCACGGAGTCATGCAGTAGTTCTGGGAGCACGAGTGGCTTTTTTTCTCCGCCTCAACCTATACGATATTCGGTGCGCTCGGAATTTTCGACCATACTCGACACCGCCGTGATCGATTTTTTTGTTCGAACGACATCGTCACAGCTTGATCGGGCTGAGCCGCTAGCAATACAGCCGGCGTTCACGGATGCTCTCGAGCTTTCTTCTTGACGTCTCCGGATACCGAGTTCCACCCTGTCTCGACACAGCTCTCTGGAACAAAATCTAGGCTGCCAGAAACTTGAGAGAATCCATTCTGATAAACTTCCTCGATAGATCCGATCGAGGCATGAATCGCTCTCGCGGGAAACTCTCCATGATCGAAGGTGGTATGTCTTCAAGAAGCGCACTGGATTCCGGGATTCGCGATTCGTCAGTATTCATCGTAGCGGAGGATTCTTTCATTTCGGAAGACGGCGGTCTGAATCGACAACCCGGGCACAAGCCTCCATGCGGCTCAGGCTACACGAGAAATCGGATCTCTTCCGAGACCGTTCAAATCTCAGCGCAACAGTTCCCGCTGTCTTTCCTCTCAGTTTAATTACAACTTCGGCCGCTTTCACAAATACTGCTGGGGATGACGAAACTCGACGGAACGACCTAGCGTCTGATTTGCCAATCTCAGACCAGAGAATCTGTAGAAAGATGCTCAAGGAAGATCTTCGGATGAATTATCCGGCTGGAAGGATGTCGGAACGTTCAATTTCTCATCGAACGTCAGAACCAACATTAACGATTACGTGGAATCGGCAGTTCGCCGCGAGAAATTCCGATCACCGGTCGCGCTCGTCGGGCATCTTTTTAGAGAGGTTGCAACGCATGTTCTTATGGATTCCCGCGGGAGAAATTATCTCAGTCAGAAGTGATTGAGCTCCCTACGCTTCGAGCGGAAAGACACGCTGCGCGTATACAGGATTTCTACTTTCGTCGTCGATCATTCGACCAGCGATTCGCGAGTCGTTGAATTCTGGGTCAGCCACCATTGACGTCAGGGAACGGCATCACGTCATAGTATCCGATCTTGATTTTCTGTCTGCTGATCTCCATCTCGGACCAAGTGATTCGTGAAAGTGATATCGGATAAATTTTTGAACAGAACTTCACAAGACTGACGTCGGTTCGGAATTGCATAAGAGCGAAATCAGAGGTGCGAAGAGGGGTCATGGGACAAGCGTTCGATTCATCAATCGGCGAGTGATTGAGATCAATGGAACGAGTTTCCATACCGCTGAGCTCCGCAGCGTTCTATTCAAGAAACTTCAAGAGCGGTACTCTTCTCCTGCTAGCCAGAGCTCTCTGGAACGACGTGGGATCTCCGTCGACGGAGTAGGCTTCGACTGTTCTGGTCGACCCGAGAAGTCAAGTCCACCATTTCCGAACCGAATCGCTTCAAGAGACGGGTGACGGGCCTCCGATCAGTGCCGATGGCATAGTATCGCGCCAATAACAGATCAAACCCTGATTAGATCGAGGAGTCCCTGGTCAAGTCGGCTGCAATCACACGTCTGTCGAAAAACGTTGACAGCGA